TGATGTGAGCCGAACACCCACACGTTCAAATTTACAGGCGTTTAAAATTATTCACATATTTCGCCCACTTGATGCTGTGCAAATTTGATTAACGAGCGTTTTGTGAGTTTTGCTGAAAATACAATGAGCTGATATTGAAACGCAGCAATTCAAATTGATTTTCATTTAACAAGCTCAACTCGAAATAAATGTTTATTTATTTGAATTATGAAAACCAAAGTTTTCCCTTAAGTTTTTTACATTAAATAGATTGTAAATTGCGTTCCACAATTTATGACAGCGAACCTAATTTGTTGTGCTACGTTAAGGACCTGTCTTCCTTAAAGATTGACAAATATTTATTTATATTAGGAGTAAAATTAAATTGTGTGTAATATGAAAATTAAAAATGCAAGAAAAACGTAGAAAATGGGTTTCAGTTTATTCATTTATTATTATTATTATTTATATATTTTTAAACAACCTTTAAATGCTTCGATAACATTTTTCGATTAGTCGCAGTTGTTGAATATTTTCATCGATTCGTGACCAGTCACGGGTAAGGGACTATCGATAAGGGCGAAGATCTGATGGTCACCACTAGAAAAACAAATATGGCGGAACCGTGCGTAAAAGTAAAAAAAGTGTAAAATTTCGCAGTTTATCCGACTCCAACTCAGCTAATTTCGCTTTGAAACCGCGTAATAATTTCCGCGCCGTTTGCTAAATAGAAAGCCAGTCCTTTGGTGAACCATAAACTAATTGTGCGGCGCGCGCTTGTTTTCGTTGAGTGATGCGATGCTATTTGACCACCAATTTGTTATTACGTGACCTCAAGAACGCCGCAACATTTCGCCAGGCCAAATCGAAAGAAATCGGAATTTAAGTGCAGTAAAACAAGACTTGCTATTGGTGGCAAGTGATCTCAGGCAGCCGCAATGCGATTTGACCGCCGGATCGGAACACACGAAATCGAAATCGCCTGAGATGCCAAGGGGCTTGCCGGCGCGAATCAGCAAGTGCGACTACTAGGACAGCCCCAAGGGAGCCACGCGAGAAACCATGTCGGGCGGACGTGATAGCAGCAACAGCAGCGGGAGCAATTCTGCTGCGGCAGGAGCCAGTACGAATGCCACATCCTCCGCCTCCTCCACATCCACATCCGCCTCCCCTGGAAGCACAACATCGCCCGCGTCCACGCAACGGCAACGGGGAAGACCGGCCAAACGGGCCACATGCACCTGGTGCGGCGAGGGCAAGCTACCGCTGCAGTACGTCCTGCCCACGCAGACCGGCAAGAAGGAGTTCTGCTCGGAAACATGCATCGCCGAGTTCCGCAAGGCGTACAGCAAGGGGGCGTGCACCCAGTGCGACAACGTCATCCGTGATGGGGCGCCCAACAAGGAGTTCTGCTCGATCATGTGCATGAACAAGCATCAGAAGAAGAACTGCTCGACCAGGCACAGCGGCGGATCGTCATCGGGCAAGGGTCTGGCGGAGAACGAGCGCAAGTTGCTGGCCAGTGGAGCGCCCGCACCAACAGGGCCCTTTCAATACGAGAGCTTTCACGTCTTCGACTGGGATGCCTATCTAGAGGTAAGTCAAGCTGGGATAACCCTTTAAATCACAAACTGATATTTTTTGTGCCTTTTAGGAAACGGGTAGCGAAGCTGCTCCTGCAAAATGTTTCAAACAGGCTCAGAATCCTCCCAACAATGATTTTAAAATCGGCATGAAGCTGGAGGCTTTGGATCCACGCAACGTCACTTCCACCTGCATTGCCACCGTGGTTGGAGTGCTTGGCTCCAGACTGCGGCTACGCCTGGATGGAAGTGACTCACAGAATGACTTTTGGCGACTGGTCGATTCCACGGAGATCCATGCCATTGGACACTGTGAAAAGAACGGTGGCATGCTGCAGCCGCCTCTGGGATTCCGCATGAATGCATCCAGCTGGCCCGGTTATCTGTGCAAGATCCTTAACAATGCCATGGTGGCGCCAGAGGAGATCTTCCAGCCAGAGCCCCCTTCGCCAAATGAAAACCTGTTCAAGGTGGGCCAGAAACTCGAGGCTGTCGACAAGAAGAACCCGCAGCTCATTTGCTGTGCAACAGTAGATGCAATCAAGGATGATCAGATCCATGTAACATTTGATGGATGGCGGGGGGCATTCGACTACTGGTGCAATTACCGATCGCGTGACATTTTTCCCGCTGGTTGGTGCGCTAGAAGTTGCCACCCCATGCAGCCACCAGGCCATAAATCGCGCATGGACTCCAGCTCTAGCAAACAGCGATGCCCTCGACCCCGCTACACCGTTGTAGCTGAATCAGAGGCTATGGTTCCCGCTTCCCCCGCCACGGCCCACTTCCATCCCAACTGCAAGGGCGGTCCGTTCATCAACAATTCCAAGCTGCCCTGCATGGTGACGGGGCCCACCTACCAAACGCTGGCCAAGTTGTGCCTACAGGAGGTTCTAGCAGCCAGCACGGATACGCAACAGCTCTCGAAGTTGCTGTTTGCCCTGGAAGGAGATGTTCACATCGTGACGGCGGCGGGGAAAAATTTCACAGTGAGTACAATATTAATTAAACACATTGAAAAATATCTTTAAAATTTACTTATCATTTCTTGAAGGTAAAAATACCATCGCCAATGCGAATGAAGGATGACGAAAGTCTGGCCCAATTCATCGAAACACTGTGCACTACATGCCGAGCATGTGCGAATCTCATTTCCTTGGTCCACGAGACGGAGGAATGCAAGAAATGCGCGAATAGTCGGAAGCGTCAACTGACTCAGTCAGCCACACCGCCTTCCTCGCCAGTGCTTGCCGACAAGCGAAACCGTCAGTCCAACTCGGCAACGTCACCTCCCTCTGAGAAGATTATCAAGCAGGAAGTGGGTGTAATATCGCCAGTGGAGAACAAGTCAAAAACTCCGACAAACAATGGCAAGGAGCCTGAAAACCAGCAAAACAACCACAGTCTTAACAATAACAACAACAGTGCCAGCAAGTCCAGCAACAAGGTGGTCATAAAGTCGGAGCCCAACGGAGCGACCGCGCAGACTTCCTCCACAACGCAGGCACTGCGGAAAGTACGCTTCCAACACCACGCAAGCACGAATAGCTCTGCGACAAACGGAAACCAGGATACGAGCCAGACCACTCACGTTTCTACCAGCCATTGCAGCAGCTCGTCAACGTCGTCCAGCACGAGTCTTGCCGGTGGATCAGCGAACACCAGCACAATTGGCAAATACCTGGCGCCTCTTGTGGCGGAAGTTCATCCAGAGCAGGCCAATGTGAAACCCTCGAATAGCTACTACAAGAGTCCGACGACGCTCTCGTCAAGCGCCTCATTGCCGACATCCGTGTCCACGCCGTTCACGGGCTGCCAGTCAGCCTCGTCCACTGCACTGGCTGCAGGTGGAGTTACAGCGGCAAAGGCTGCCACCGCGCCGGCTGGAGCAGCGGCAACTGCGGGAGCTTCTCCGAGCTACACCGCAATTACCTCACCCGTGAGCACACCCACATCTGCGTCGGCGAACTCACATCTGCGGTCGCAGCCGATCGACTGGTCCATCGAAGAGGTGATCCAGTACATCGAGAGCAACGACAACTCACTCGCAGTTCATGGTGATCTCTTCCGAAAGCACGTAAGTAATAGCCATTTCCTCTTTGAAGCGATCAACTAACCCAATTTTCGTTTTAAGGAAATCGATGGTAAAGCTTTATTATTGCTAAATTCAGAGATGATGATGAAGTACATGGGCCTGAAGCTAGGACCAGCCTTAAAAATCTGCAATTTAGTCAATAAGGTCAATGGTCGTCGAAATAATCTGGCACTCTAAAAAACCCTAAATTTCACGCAGTGGACTCTGTTCCAGTTCGACTTATATAGAAATTGTTAACAAATTAGTACCTCCCTTTAACGTAAAGCAAAGCAAACATGAACGATATTCATAGATGTGTTATGTGTTGGCCATTCATGAAGAAAGAACCCCTACCCTACTTTATTATATTGATAATATAAAAAACGATATAACAAATGTAATCGCGAAGACATGAAATTCCGTATACAAAACCAGACGCATACAAATTATAGACAGTCAAGCTCCGGTTTTCAAAACCATTATTATTAATTTTTGTTCAACTGCTCGTGTTTCATTTTTGGAATACGCATTTACAAATGTAATTATTTAGACAAAACTATTTACTTGAATTAGGAATTTTTGTAGTTTTATTCATATTTACCCAGTTAAAGGAGTATACGTACACAAACAATAATTAGTTTGACCATCTATTTCTAAAAATGTGAAATAGTTCTCCATTATACACAAACTTATTCGACCTTTTCGAAAACTGGAGCTCGGCTACCAAAATCGCAATGCACCTACATTATATTTATTACACATAAACACGCACATTAGACACCAAATCTATCCGACACAAAAAAAAATGATAATTAACTTTAGAATAGGCGAGAAGACAACAAATATAAAATGATTGTACATATTTTACATATAATTTTGTAATTATGTATCAATTGCGTTTCCTAACTATAACAATATTTAATTAGTCATTAAACAGGTTGATGATATAATTTCTTTTAAGTTATTGAAATTGAATATCAGTTTATAGTTAAATCAACTGCAGTTAAGGTCATTTTTGAAAATAAGAACCGCTTCCTTTCAAAGTTTGCAATATATGCGATATATAAAAGGTAACATTCGGTCGTGTAAAGTTATGCAATAAGTCTCATTATGTTAACCCAACAACCACTTAGAAATACAAAAATGAAATAGAGCCAACTGTATATATCATTACGTAATAAACATATTACAATTTGTTCTATTTTCAACAGTAAAGTAACTGAGATAGTAGTCGGATTGGTATTAATACTCAGGCACTAAATTTTCCACCATCAGATGTTGATAATTGCTCATAAGAAGTGTAAATGAATCACTTCGAGCGTCAGCATATTTGAAAGTCTATTAGAATTTAAAAAACGCGGATAAACAAATTGTATTATTGTCATATTTATTTTTAACAAACAGATACACACGAATCGTTCCGCAATTAGGTCATTCGTAAAAGTGCTTCTGCACCCATCGAGGCAAGGCAAAGGCGGCGGAATGAACTTCAGAGGAGTAGTACCTCAAATCTAAGGCATTGATTTCGGACTTTCCCAGTTTGGGAGTAGCGAAATCCTGGTCTTTGTTCAGGGAGCCCATGACGAAGCCAATGTGGCCACAGGGATAGGATGGAACGGAGGTGACGGCATAGGCCACTTTAGCGAAATGCTCCTTGCAGCCCGACATTGTCTTCTTTATGTAGTCCAGGTCCAGCCAGAAGCTACCGCCCTGGGAGCACACGATTCCGTCGTCCTTCAGTGCGTGTTTCATTAGCTCGTAGTAGCTTTCCTGGAACAGGCTCACTGCCGGACCAATTGGATCCGAGCTGTCGGTGATGATGACATCAAATTCATTCTTGTGCTTCTTCATGTAGTCGAATCCATCGCCAATGGTCAGCTTCAACTTCTCGTTGGAGAACCCACAGGCCATCGCCGGGAGATATTGTTTGGACAGCTCGACGACACGGTCATCGATTTCCACCTGATGCACTTCCTCGACCAGTGGATGCTTCACCACTTCGCGAGCAACGCCGCCATCCCCACCGCCAACGATCAAAACCTTCTTGGGATTCGGATGGGCGCAGAGGGGCAGGAAGGATATCATTTCCTGGTACGAGAACTCATCCCTGGCCGTGCACTGGATGATTCCGTCCAGAATCAGGCACCTTCCATAGGTTTCGCTGTAAGAGAATTATCGAATTATTGATTTTTTCAGCGGCGTAAGTGTACCCAATGTTCGACTGGAGGAATTCAAACCTGAAATACGAGCTGACTTGCTATCAGTGTTCTGTCTTTCGTTTCTGGCCTTAGATGACTCCATAGATAAGGCTGTTGGTGCAGATCAAGAATAAGCACACGAAAACCAAAGGGCCCGAAAATGCTGTCTGGGCAATTTGTATTTGTACAGCCAGTGGAAAATTTTCGATTTCTACAATCTATGTTTTAGGGACCTTCAATGTAGGATACATATGGGATTAGGCGGCTATTGTAGTTTAAACCTTTAAAGCTTAAGCTGTTAACAATTTCGGATAAGTGTGAAGTATGATAAGTGTGTCCCTATAAGAAGTTTAGGTAATTTTTTAATCTCTATCTTAGCCAATTTATTTTTAAATCCTTCAAACTCCGATCTAGACTGAGGAATTTCAGGTGTAAACAAATTGGATTGTGTTTACATGTATTTGTTTATCAGTTATTTATCTTACGTTTCAACGATCTGGATGTCCTGGAACTGGGACTTCTCCTTGTGGATGACCTCCTTGACTTTCAGGGAGAAGGACTGACCAGGCCAGAGATCGGCCTGCAGTTCGCTAAACCATCCGTTGTTAAGGGAATCCATTTGTTTAATGCCGCATTCGAATTGGCGTTTGATTAGATTGGCTCAACACGTGGGCTTCGCACGAACTTGCCGTATCTGCCACAAAGCTAGGTCTTAAAAAATACCTTAGAAAAGGTACAGCTAGAAATACCGAACTGTTTTTATTGTAATTAATTTTTTTTTTAACCTAACGATTTTTGTTATTAGGTTTTTGTATCAGTGAAATGCCAGCAAAATCTTCAATAGTTTATTTGTAAGGCCAACACGTGAAAAGTTAGCACTTATAGTTAGGAAGCTCATAAATTAATCGAAAGTTTATAGTTTTAAAATTGCTATTTTTGCTTATAATATGTATTAAAATGTATAATTCACGTCTTTACTTTATAAATATCACGGAATTCTTCTGGTGAAAACATAACCAGTTATGTAAGTGTGAGTAAAAAATTTAAAAATCCGTTAAACAGTTAAAAGCTTCGCAATGTTCTGGAAACTTTACTATTATGTATACGATATATGTATATATATTCGTATATATTTTCAGTTGTTAGGACGAAAAAGGTTTTGTATCTGGCACTAATTTTATGTTTTGCTAGCTTAACCTGCTGCAAATACGCCCAAATAAATTAGTTTCTGTACTTTTTTTATAATTTATTTTCATTACAAACGGTCACTCTAGTGTTTCTAATTCCAGCTCAAACAATCGATAGCGACAGGGCAGCATGCGATTGCGTATCGAAATCAGCCCTGGCCGGTGGAAATGAATACGTAGACATCCCTGATTGGCTTGATTTGGGCCAATGAAAACGTTCCAGCAAACCAATCACAGAAACCATCCGTCCCGCTCAGACACGCACAAATCAGATGCAATAAATAAATAGCACTTTCTTGCCGGCATTTAGCACTTAACTTTAACCGAGTTCGGACAGTCATCGGAGTTGGAAGAGTCAGTCCAAAAAGTGGTGCGGGATCGTTCACATGATGTGGTGCAAAACAGTGATAGTGTTGCTGGCGACAGTCGGCTTTATTAGTGCCGAGGTTTATCTGAAGGAGAATTTCGACAACGGTAAGTGGTTGGAACTCATCGCGTTCTATGGCCGCCATGTGGTCCTCCGCTCTTCAATGAAAAACGAAGAGACAGGCGGAAAAAAAAAATAATAAAATCACCCCCCGCTTGCTCCCGCAGAAAACTGGGAGGATACGTGGATCTACAGCAAACATCCTGGCAAGGAGTTCGGAAAATTTGTCCTCACCCCCGGCACCTTCTACAACGATGCTGAGGCCGACAAAGGTAGCGTATATGTGTCGATGTGTCGTCACTCCCTTTTCCAAATCTTTCTCTTCGTTCGTTCTGCCATTTTTATTTTTCGTCAGCGTGTTATCTGCATTTGTATTTGTATGTGCCTGTGTGGAGAACATGGGCACGAAGAAGAAGAAGAGAATGAAGAAGAAAAACCACTACGTGTACGTTTTCGAGTAGCTATAGTAACTGTATACACATTTTTTCTCGCCCCCCCTCCGCGCCGCGCGCATTCGTATTCATGTGGACACACATCTAGGCATTCAAACCTCTCAGGATGCACGATTCTACGCGGCCAGCCGCAAGTTCGATGGCTTCTCCAACGAGGACAAGCCCCTCGTGGTGCAGTTCTCCGTGAAGCACGAGCAGAACATCGACTGCGGCGGCGGTTATGTGAAGCTGTTCGACTGCTCCCTCGACCAGACGGACATGCACGGCGAGTCGCCGTACGAGATCATGTTCGGACCGGATATCTGTGGACCCGGCACGAAGAAGGTCCATGTTATCTTCAGCTATAAGGGCAAGAATCATTTAATCAGCAAAGACATCCGCTGCAAAGATGACGTGTACACCCACTTCTACACGCTGATTGTCAGGCCCGACAATACGTACGAGGTGCTCATCGACAACGAGAAGGTGGAGTCCGGCAACCTGGAGGACGACTGGGACTTCCTGGCCCCCAAGAAGATCAAGGATCCCTCCGCCACCAAGCCCGAGGACTGGGACGATAGGGTAAGGTCTACACCCCCCGCCAAAATCAGACTTTAGCCCCTTGAAAAACCGGTTTGGCTCATTGTTATTAAACAACATGTACACGTCTCTATAGGCCACCATTCCCGATCCCGATGACAAGAAGCCCGAGGACTGGGACAAACCAGAGCACATCCCCGACCCAGATGCCACCAAGCCCGAGGATTGGGACGATGAGATGGACGGCGAGTGGGAGCCACCGATGATCGACAACCCTGAATTCAAGGGCGAGTGGCAGCCAAAGCAGCTGGACAACCCCAACTACAAGGGCGCCTGGGAGCATCCTGAGATCGCCAATCCCGAGTATGTGCCCGACGACAAGCTGTATCTGCGCAAGGAGATCTGCACCCTGGGCTTCGATCTCTGGCAGGTCAAGTCCGGCACCATCTTCGACAACGTCCTGATCACGGACGACGTGGAGCTGGCTGCCAAGGCTGCTGCCGAAGTCAAGAACACCCAGGCGGGCGAGAAGAAGGTGAAGGAGGCCCAGGATGAGGTGCAGCGCAAGAAGGACGAGGAGGAGGCGAAAAAGGCTTCCGACAAGGACGATGAGGACGAGGATGATGACGATGAGGAGAAGGATGATGAATCTAAGCAAGACAAAGATCAAAGCGAACACGACGAATTGTAAGGACGTTTAGGGAAAATTACGTCGAGAAATATTCGGTATTTTTTGTGTGTTGGTAGCTGCTTTGATGTTCTAAGCAAACGGAAACCACAATTACAATTTGTAAGACTTATAATTTATAAACATACAACTTGTTGTTTTATTTCCAATGCTCTTTTGAGCGTTTTAAGGGTTGATTAGCTTGTTTTGTTTATGAAAATGGAGGTGCCACGTGAACAAATCACGGCGAGTTGGCAACGCTGCAATCGTGTCTATATCGAATTTCGAACGAAAGCGATGTTGCCATTCGAAATGGTATTCAAAAAATAAAATAAAAATAGCACGCCTGAATTTGATTATATCCTGTTATTTACTGTGAAAGCATGGCACAGATGTCATTTTAATGGGATGTAAACAAAACCCAATCCTAACTTATTTATTCGATTAAACCGACGTTTTTGGCCATGCATATTTAAGGTATCACTTCAACTGCTGTTTTTGGTCTCCATCCCGATGCTTGCCCAGAAAGTGCCGCTTCAGATGGTGTTTCTCCCGAAAGTCCTGCAGGCAGATGGAACACTTGTAGGGCCGTTCATCCGAGTGGCGGCGCCGGTGCTTCGCCAGGTTATTGTTGTCCGAAAAAGTCTTGGGGCAGTGGGGGCATTGGTAGGGCTTCTCGCCCGTGTGTATGCGGATGTGGACCTTAAGGGCCTGCTTGGAACGGAAGTTGGACACGCAGAAGGGACAAGCATGCGGCCGTTCGCCCATGTGGGCGTGAATGTGCACCTTGAGAGCCGACTTGTTGAAAAATCCCGTCTGGCAGTATGAGCATTTGTGGGGTCCGTTCCCCTGCTTGGATTCGGTGTGGATCAACAGGTGCGCCTTAAGGTTTTGTTCGCGAGAAAAGTTCTGCTGGCAGTGTGGGCACCGAAAGGGCGGGTGTTCCTCGCATTTGTGACTGTCCAGGCTTTGGGTACTTGAGAATACCTTCAAGCATATAGGGCACTCAACAGTGGAATTGCTGTTGCGATAGCACAGGTGCTTATCCAGGTCGGCCTTGAACAGAAAACGCTCTCCGCAGTTTTGGCATACGTGGGAATTGCTGTGAACTCTGCGGGATAAGATATACAATTGCAATCATACAACTGAAATCATTAATATTGGTTTTACCTACTTCATGTGGTCCAGGAGGTTTCTTTGGTGCTTAAACTCTTTGATGCATAGCTCGCACTTGTTTGACAGTTTTTTTCTACTTCTCAGCTGCCTGCCAGCTCTACTGGTCACCCCAGACTTGGTCGATTTGGAGGTTGTTTCATGTGACTGTTCAATTTCCTCGACGAGCTCCTCCTTTGCTTCCAGATGGCCGTTGTAAAGGTTCTCATTGACTAGAAAATCCTCCTCTTTGGGCTCCTCCTTGATGACCCGCCCATTTATAATCTCCAAATAGAACTTCCTATAGCTCTCCTCGCATCTTCGCTTGAATCCATAAGCAGTTCGTGCATCGTGGACACATGCAATGCAGATTTTTTGGGGCATGGCGTCGTCGGGATCCAACTGGACGTCGGCACATGTCTTTACCATCTCAGCGAGATTGGTTTCCACCGTTCCTTCAAAGTATTCCTGCTCCTGGTCGTCGAAAATACCCACCAAGGTCTTAGAGTGGTCGCCACAAATTCGACACAGGTCCTCCATGGCTTAATCGTTTTTTAACCAAAGTTCATATTTTTAGTAAACAATCAAATAGATTAAATCTTTGTATGCTTCTTTGTTTGTCTTTGGCTTAATAGGGATGGACTTTTCCGGCGTGACATGTTGTGACCATATAATTTCGGATCACGGTTTTTTAAATGAAGAATTAGCAATGTTTTTTTTTAAATAAATAAATTACAAATAGTAATTCATTAAAGCTAATAGACCGGATTCACTGCGTCACGGTTTTTAAAAGCACAAGCTATCGATCACTGTAGCCATAATCGTATATCGATTGCATTTAAATAGAAAGCGCATTCATTTAGAATAAAAAAGCATAAAATTGCATTTTTTATGGTTCCGTGAAATTGGACTTGCAATGTACTTTGATATGGAAAATGTAGTTACTAGTTTTTATCTTTATTGCAAGCATGAACAGACTAAGTGTGAATATAATACTATCCTTTATGCTAGCTTTTTTGATTTGGCAGACCTTCACATATTACTCGATACTAGAAAAACTATGCCAAGAAATTAAGGAGCAGCTTAAGTTAAATATGAAAGGGGTAAGGTACTTGCTCTTCAAATTATATATAAATAAAAACCATATTTTGCACAGCTTGTGCACAAGTCAATAAATACGTGCAAGTTAACAAGTAGAGTTGTAGATAAATAATGAAAAGTTTATTAGCCTTCATAGCAAATCAGTAAACCTAACTTCTCTGCAATATTTGCAGTTAGCCCAAAGTGTTAACTATAGTATATGCGAATCCGTGAAATGTATGTTTAGTAAAGCTTTTTCAATCGAAACGCGCTGAGTCAAGAAACCGGCTTACCTGCGAGAACGCCGAAGAGAGGTGGCAAAACGGCTCTGCCCCTTCCCAGTTTGCTGCTGGCCGAAATTAAGCACTGAATGTGTCAAAACGGCGCTCAGTTGCTCAACTAAAATCGAGTCCGACGGTCGCATACACTTGGGCTTGGCATTCGCTGCGGACACAGAAGCCTTCATTCCCGCACTCCGTCGAAGGTCGATCGATTTGAGCACCCAAAGCTCAAATTACTAGTCACAAGATGACGAAGTTGGCCACTGCCGCCAGCCTGCTGCTCCTCATCCTGTCCTGCGGATGGGCGGAGCTCGAGGAGAAGCACCAGTCGAACAAGGTCTGATTGCATTCCGACGCCTTTTGCCTCTTTGTTTACATTGGCAATTACGTGAATAAATGTTTCTATAAAGCTGGGTTCTGTATTTAAATTGGCTTTAAACTAGAACTAGTCATAGGAATAGTTTATACGTTTTAGAAAATCTACCCTGCTGCAGCTTAAGAGATACAGACTCAAACTCTACTTTCCTTATGTAAATTTCTCTGGATCTAGATTCTAAAATTATTCAGTAGCCGAAAATGAATATTTAGTTGAATAATGCGAGGCATAATTAATAGTACCGGTGAAAGGCATCATTGGGTTTATATCTATAGACTGAATAATTCAAATACATTTTCTTTTAGCTGCACATCACCCTCCTTTACGAGTCCTTGTGCCCGGACAGCAGGAACTTCATGCATCAGCTAGGACCCGTTTACGAGGAGTTTGAGGACTACATCGATATCCTTTTAGTGCCCTTTGGCAAATCCCAGTCGGAGCGCAATGGTGCCATCTTCCACTGCCAGCACGGACCGGCTGAGTGCAAGGGCAATCGCCTCCAGAGTTGCGTCATCAACAGCACCGGAAACCAGGCGGCACAGGTGAAATTCGTGGTGTGCCAGATGCTGGCTCCGGATTACTCCCGCATTGATCAGGTAATGTACCTTCCGTGGACTCGTTGTGCAATGTTTGCCCAACTGATTGTACCTAAATATATCTTTCCACACGCAGTGTGCCAATGAGGCGGGCCTGCTCACCGATGTGGTCCACTGCCTGTCCAGCGAGACGGGCACCAAATTGCAGCTGCAAGCGGAGCTGGTGACCAAACAGTATAGTCCGAGCTTCATTCCCACCATCGTCTACAATGGCGTAAGTAGCCGCGATCAATCGTCGCCGTAATCGAATGCACTCAACTGGTTTTCTTATTCACATTCGTATTCGTATTCGTTTCCACATGCAACAGGTCTTCGATCAGCAGCTGCAGGACCATTCGCTGCACGATTTCCGCGGCACGGTTTGCTATATGTTACGTCAACAAAACTTGCTGCCCAGCGGCAGCACAATCTGCCAGTAGATCTGCTAAATGTTCAATGTAACTGCCTCAAGTTTGGAATGAAATTAAAATTCATAAACTGGTTTTTTAACCGCACAAGAATGCCTCTCCTCTGGGGGGAATGGTATCAATATATTCACAAGTGAATCAATAAGGTCACAGAGAACAAACATTACGAAAATTGGTTTAGGTTCTTTCTATTTTAGGACTATAACTCGTTCTAAATGTAACACAACTCAAATTTTGTTATGGTAATCTAACCAATTTTGTTTACACTTTCCTCTGTGCAGCACACACCGTTCAGATAATAATTTATATTGATACATAAGATACAGTTCATCAATTACAATTGTGTAAATGTATATAGTACATGCAGTGCGTAGGGCGACTAATTTATTTACAAAGGCGTACAATATAAATTCATTATTTTTGGATCAAGGGGCACAGATTTAGATGATGGGATGGGAAAAATGGGGGAATATCGTTAGGTTTTCCTCTCGATGAACCAACAACAAATGACTTAACGGCTAGGTGCTAATGGCTAACGTACAACTAGGATTTCAATTTCTTGCACTTTGTGTTTTTGCTGTGGACGCTGACGGGTGTGCAGAAATAACAATTTGTAGACGGGTTTCCGTTGTGATTAAAGCATTCCGCTCAGACGGCGGTGCCCGGTGCCTGGCCAGCGGATGAGGCCGCTGTAGTGCCGGTGGTGGCCACCGCGTTGAGACTGAGCGAGCGACGTGGAGCCGGCTTTGGTGGTATCTGCGGCTTGACGGTCGCAATCTTGGCCAGCGTCACGCTTGCCTCGCTGATGACCGGCTGCTGACCCGGTCGCTCCTTCTCCTGGAACTCCACGTAGCCGCTCTCGTCGCTGTCGCTGTTGTCGTCATCCGGATGGTCGCTCCTCTCCTGCTTGTCGCTGCCGGAATTGCTGCGCTTCAGGGTGATGCTGCTCGAGCTGCTGTAGTTGGTGGCATCGCCGCTGTTGTTGCGCAGCTGGTGCTCCAGTCTTTGGTAGATCATCATCTGCTCCAGCACTTGCGCCTGCTCCAGCTCCAAGTCCGGCGACTGCTCTAGCTGGCCGGGATCCCTATCCCGCTTGCCGTTGTACTCCTCATGGTTGGCATTTGTGACTGTGCTGGCTGTCTCGCAGCCGCTGGATATGGATCCTTCGTCGCTGTCCGGACTGGCCAGACCCTGTTGGGCGGATCCACCGCCCGCTGCCGCCGAAGTGCTGGCCGTCGTCGAGCTGGACGCATTGGAGGAGATAGATGACTGCGTCTGGTGGCGGTACTTGAGACTCGCCTGATCGGCCGCCCGCATCTTCCTCATCGAACTGCGGTGCAGCATGGTCAGCATGGCCGCATGCCGGAAGTAATGGTCGTCCGCATCGTCCAGAAAGTCCTCCTCGCCGTCACTGCAAACGCCACTGCGTCGTGGCGCGCTCACATCGTGATCCTCGGCATTGTAGTCCGCCTCTGGATCGGCGCTGGGATCGCTGTTAATGGTGGGCAGGAGGCTCAGCGGTTCGCCCTCCTCCTCCTTGAGTTCGCTTAGGCTCACCATGCTCTGGCTGCTGTTCTTGTGGAGCTGCATGTCGAAGTACGGCAACAACTCATTGCTCAAGGTCGTATCGAACTTCAGCAGCTTCTCGAAGTCATCCGAATCAGAGCCATCATTGGCGGGACTGCTCGCCGCCGCCACCTGCTTGGTCTCTTCCTGCGGCACCTCCTTCGCCATGTGCGAACTGCAGCAGGGCGAGGAGGACTGAATCTTGCCCGTTCGCCGAATGGAGTGCCCGCGACGACAACGACGCCTGCCCAGCGTCATGGCCGGATAGAGGGAATCCTTCTGACAGCACGGCATCATCTCCGGCTCATTGGTGTCCTCGATCTCATCGCCCTCCTCCTCGCCAATGGCCTCCTCGATGGCCATCAGTTTGGGCGCCGACTTGGAGCGCTCCAGTGGCGGCCTGTAGTTGTTGCCGCCCACACTCAGCATGATCTTGCGGCGCGGCAAGCTCGGATTGTCGTAGACGGCGTTGGCCAAACTCAGGCGAGCGTTTTGCTTCAGAATTTTCTCACGCTTAAATTCGCGCAAAGCGCTCTCCAGGTTTTCCTGCAAAACAGAATACACTTTAGAATATATCCAAACTGATTTAAATAATAATCTCTGCGGGAATAGAGCATGCTTGTTTTAGTTGATACAAGTGGAAGTTTCCAGAAATGAAACTCTAAGCATTTGGTTTAATTTCTCTTAGAAAAAGTTCAATTTGATAAACAAAGCGACGAAACAAAAGGCTCATTGAGATAGTATGAAAGTGGAAGGGAAAAGTCCACAGATAAACATAAATAGTTAGTCATGCGTATACTTGACTTGAAATACGAAACCCCTTCAGTTTAATCTCGCAATTTATAGATAGATTCATGTATGAACCAATTGGTAGTCATGCGCCACTCATGCAGGATTCGGATCAGCAGGAGCCACTCACCCGCAGGGTATCGCAAATGTCCTGGGCGATCTTCTCCTTGCTGCAGAGCACCGCATGGCAGCGGAGCTCGTGCTTCAGCTTCCTGCCCTCGTGGCGGTAGATCCAGCAGAAGACCCGCGGATAGTTCTTCGGTGCGCAGCAGTAGGTGATCCTGTGGGCCCAGTACTCCGTGAGTCCGTGCTGCCGGGTGGTGGCCTTCAAGCCGGAGGCGCACACCTTCAGGCGCATGATCACGTCCGGCTTGGAGTGCTGCGTGTAGTTCCGCCACAGCGTGTTCAGCTGCTTCTCCACACAACCCTCACCTGCTGAGGATACAACATTAGTATGGATCCGTTTATGGTTAGATGTGTGACTCACCCTTGGCCCAGCCGGTCAGGACGTTGCCCAGGTAGGAGACCTTGAACTCCGGATCGGGTGTGCTGATATCCACGCTGTGTGTGCGCCTCCAGAGTTTGCCCAAACTGCGGGTGAGCGTGCGATACGCCTTGGAGGTGAGCTGATCGTTCTGGTCGTAGCCCCCAGTGCGACCCACATGCTCCTGCCGGCTGCCGTAGAGCAGGTCCCGCGAGTCCGTGGTCAGGGTTATGACGTTCGTTACCCGGACGGTGTCATCCTCGCCAGCCACATCGCCGTCCTCCTTGGACACCCGCTTGAAGCGCTCCAGATAGGGACCAGCGCGACCACGCCTCCCGCTGTAGGTGTTGAACTTGCCGCCCTCGGATCCGGCGGCCAGACGCTTCTGCTCCTGCTTCTCGAACTTCTTGGCATTGTAGGTGTTGCCCAGCAATCTGGCCAAGCTGTTGCTCTTCACGAACTTGTGCTGTCGCGGTGGCGTACCAATTGGCACCGGCGGCAGGGGAGCAGGAGTTGTCGCCGGAGGAGCATCCTTGCTGCCCGCCTCCTGGCTCTCCTGCGACTTGCTCTGACTCAGCTTCTTGCTGCTGCTGCTCCCGAAGTGGAAGAGGGTGCGACGCTCCTTGGCTTTCTTCGGCGTGTTGCTGTTTGGTTCGTTGTTTGGTGTTGCTGCTGCTGCAGTTGTTGCTGCTGCGGCTGTTGCTGCTGCTACTTTGGTGTGGATCACCGCCTGACTAACGCTGCCCAAATCCTCGTAATCGTTGTTATTGTTGTGCGTGGCCACTATGAAGTCCACCTCATCACATCCCTCGGAACCGTGCTCCATTGGGGATTTGCTGCCGTTGTCGGCTTCCATTTTCGGGCTGTGCTGCTGATGTACCCAATCAATGTTCGTTGGACAAGAGCATGTTACGGAAGATCTGCGAGTGAAATAGGGAGGTAAGTTAACAAATCTATTTATTAATCAGTGCAAATAAGGGAGAAATCGGCCAAAAGCAGCTAAATTAGCCTATAATTCCATTTCGGATCCATGGCTAGGGAGAAATTAGCCAACTAAATTAGCAATCAAACAATGAAACACGAAAGTTGGTGTTTTAAACCTGTGGTTAAACTTGTTTTTTAATGTACGATTATATTCAATGATTCAATTACTTTGTACATGTTTTTCATATTTGACGACAAATTGTTGTTATATCTGAATGATTTACGAATAAATCATGATGATTATTTTCAATTACTTCATACATTGTTTTTCATATATAATTATGACAAATTGTTATATCCGAATGATGCACAAATAACTCATCCGACTCAAATAAACTCCATTCCTTAGTTTATCGGAACTTGAAAGTGCCCATCCTTTGTTTTATGCCCACAAATTAACACACTTTTATTGGCGCAATTATGAATGGGTGTTAGGGGGCCAAATCGCAAATGGAAGCCACACTTTCACCCATCATTGGGTATAATTCGCACACTCAACTGCCAACATTACCACCAATTCACACCCGATTTCGAGTGAATTTTTCCGCAACTGAGACCAAAAAGTGTCAACTGACTAATAAATTACCCCATGATTAACACTCGGCAGCAGCTGTAAAGTGTTTTTCCTCTTGGTCTCGTGTTGTGTTTTCGCACAGCTTACAATATGCAAATGTTTACGGTATCAGGTATTATAATTACTATTTTTTGTAGTACTGTTTCTGTTTTCCCCCTTGCTAGATGAAAAACGCCACACGGGCCCTCTGTTTTCTGTTTTCCGTTTCGCATTTAAAATTTTCACATTATTTAGATGGCGAATTGTTTGCTAAAAACGACACTTGAAGATGCAACTATCAAGAGTCATTAAGTACGTGTATTAAATGGCTGAAAAGCACTTAAACCTGGCAATTATGGGGCGACAAAGTACATTTTCCATTCGGTTTACCTGGCTAAACTTGGTCGCTGTGAGAAGCGTAATTAAAACACAATAAAGTTGGGCAAACACCGCTGTTTCCTCGCCCCAATCCGATTGAACTGAACCCAATTTGCCAGCCTAATCACTCACGTACCTGGCCGTTTAGAGCATCGATTAGTGGCCCAGGTGAGCAACTAGCTGGTTAGCCGACTAATAGGTAACCTCCAAGATCCATTATTTTCGAGTTTGCTGGTCTAATCGCGACGAGGTGTTTTAGCCAACTGCAGGCGCTTTCTGGCTGTAATCTAATCTAAGCTGTGGCTATTTTGCGGCTCTGATTTTTATGGCCAACTATGTACGAGTACATACAAAGCTGCAGACAGTCGTGCTCGTGATTTAGAATTATAAATATTAAACTGTTCCGCGGAATGGAATTTATGGTAATTTACGGCCAAGTGGCTGGCAACTCTCGCAGGCACAGCGAATTCATAGGAAGTTGCTACCCAGTTAATACTCCGCATTCAATATCCCATATCGAATATTCAATAGCCCCGCACAAAAGGCAATTGGTCAGGTCTGTGGCCATATTATTAGCTCTCAGTTTTTCCATCCAATGACCTTGGCTGTCTGCTGGTGTCTTTGGTCTTTGGGCAGTCGATAAAATCGCTGGCTTTCACTTTTTCCCTCGACCATCCCACTCCACCCATTGCGTTTTCCCCTGCCCATGCAAATGTCAGCCGAAGAGCCATTCATACATGTGGATGCGAACGATTGTGAGAAAGCCCAGTAGTCATCGCAATACACCCCCTACACCAGACACCATCCATCATCTATGTAGCTGCCGACCATCCGAAGTGATCCCTTGGGGCAATGACATCGTCTCCGTTTTCTCCGTCTCTTGTAGGAGCGCTCAAAGAAAGCGCGCTGAATTTGTAAGAAAAGTTAAGTATACAACAAAATATTTAAAATCGAAAAAAGAAGTGGAAAAAATACCAAGTAATTGTTTTGCACCGGCCCAGCTCGGCCCTGCCCCACCCATTATCATTTATGCCTCCGCCTCTGGACTTTTGAATGGTCTTTCCCCTTTGTCCATAATTGCAAGTCTCCAGGTCTCGAATTGTGCGTGAGCGCGCATTTTAAACACCCAGCTCACATTAAATGAAATACGAAAATTAAGCACAAAAAATCATACCTATAGGAAAAGTACACTTTGAATGCCTTCACTTGGCAAAAAAAGGGGGAAAAATGAGGAGTGAACAAAATCATGCAAAAAGCGTAATGAGGAAGTGCGGCCATGTGGACAGTTTCAGTTTGGTGTGCAAAATATTAACACCCAACTACGGAAACCAGGAGCGGTTCAAGGCCTGCGCGGGTAAGTCCGCGGATCAGGGAGAAATTTAGCCACTTCCTCTAAAAGCCACACTATGATTAGTGGCGATGCAGAACTTTTAGGCAGCTCAATAAATATTTAACGACATGAAAGTGGCACTGTAATTTGCTGCGATCATTAGTAACAAAGAGAAAAAAAACTGACTTTTACTTAATATGACATATGCGCGTGTATTTCCGCTACTCTTCCCTTGGTAACAACATTTGTTGGCTTTTTGATTGATCATCGTATCTTATAATTAGGTAAACGCTTTTAATTTATTTATTTGATATTTCTATTTCGGTTTCTCCGACTTCTTTTGTCCGGTCTGAATGCAAACAATGGCTGGCGCAGAAACTGCTTGGTCATTTATCAAAATGTATTTTTAACCATTCTGTATTTGTGTTCTTGGCTGTTAACAGCTAAATTTGCGTTCGTTTCCCAAAACGAGAACTGGGATTCGGTGTTTCCCAGGCGGCTTAAAATGCAAAAGCCGCAGAGAACCACATCAGAGTTATTTGTTTTGGGGACCAAACACTTGAAAGTGCTCAATAGGCCAAGTCGCAGAGTTGAACAGAAAATGCAATTTATTATTGTGGAGAGCGAACCGACGAGGACCCGCAGATGGGTACAGTAAAGCCTCTTCAGCGGCAGTTCTTGTACATCTGGACACCAATTTACTGAATGAACGATTTTGCATCGTAACACAACTAGTAGCAATAGGTTTACAGAAACCATATTTCATATATCTTTTTGCACACTGGTTTTTCTACTAGAAGCTCCACTGTAATCGAATAGCTTTGTTCGCGGCTCAGGTGCACCGATTGGTTGTTGTTGGCGGGTTGTCTAGCATAAACTGTGTCAACTGCAAGTTTGAAAAGTTGATTCTAATGTTTACTTAGTGTGGGCCCCGCTCGCACATAAATATCAATTTAGCCATGCTCCTCTGTGTGTGGTTTTCCAACCTGTGCCCCCCTTCTCCGCTTTTCCGCTCTCCCCCTTCCAATGTCAGGTTAAATAAATCGCAAATTCTGAATTCTCTGCTCAGATCTCTGGCTTTTGGAGTCTCGGCTCAGGCACCCAAGAATGTCTCAAAATAAACGAATAAAATACGAAAAAAAAGTGACTCGCAACTAAATTAAACAGTTTCGCAATTCGCATTCGTCAGATGTATTTTTATTTTCGCTTATTTTTTTGGGCATGTGTGTCATGTGCGGTTGTCGCCTAACTTTTGGCCATGCTGGAGGAGATTGGGGGGTTATCCGGAGGAGTCATATAGAGAGTAAGTTGAAGGAAGCCTTTCGGTACGTGCGAACGCATCGGAATGCATTTAATTGAACAAATGAATAACCTATAATGTATGGCATAAATTTGTGCAGTATTGTATTCCCTCGATAATTGATTGGCAGCACACACCTCAGAATCAGACAAAACCGGGCTTAAGCCAGCATCCACATTGGCATTCTTGCAGGCATATGGAAAATGAAGATGGCTTAGAAATCAAGAGTGAAAAATGCAATCTTCGCAGCGAGTGTATCAGCTTTTATTTCAGCTTTAGCATTTACATCCATACGTTAATACTAACGAGTTTCTGAACTGTGAAATTCATATATATAACTTGGAGATATTATCATAAAATATACGGGTTTGCAAGTTGTTTTCCAAGAATCTTCTACTCGCATAATGCCATCAATCTAACAATCTAACCCGATTACATATCCATCCCCATAACCTTCCTGCGCAACTCATTTTGGAAACGAATTAAAAATTCAGTTCTCATCTCACAGTGAAACAAAGGAACAAATGACATTGACTTTTGTTTGCCTTTTCTTTCTTACTTTTTTTTCGGCCCCTCACTTGGCGATTAAGAAAAAATTCCCTCGAATTCGGTACTAAAGCTAAAGCTTGAGCATCTGGGCGGCAATTAATAGTGTAAAAACCCCCACAATTTGTTTTAATTCTGTTTATAGACAGATTATAAAGTAAATTGTGCCGTAAAAACAGTAGAAACAAAGTGTGCAGAAAGAGTAAAATGCTGGAGAAAAATGATACTGCGTTGAAAAATATGTGTTTACAGTCGAATGCCAGAAGTTCATGAGATTTACGAGAGTATGTTTCGGTTTAATGGGATCCCGACTTTAATGGGGGGCTCAAAAGTTGAACCATCACAATATGTTGCTGCTGCTGCTGCTGTTTTTTTCCCCTTTTTTTTAAACTTTTGTAGTTGGGCTAATTGAGTTGAAGTAGCCGCAGCAGGTTTTTGTTTTACAAATTATATATTTTTTATATGCCTGCGTAATACTGCTCTTTCGTTTTGTATTGAAATTTCTTGATGGTTTTGAAAGTGAATGCCTTGACATCATTTTGTAATTTATTTTCGCTCTTTTGTTCAATGAAACGTTGTTCAAAATACCAAACTGCACTCCGCACGTCTTTTCCTAAATCCCCACTATAATATATTCATATTTGCTAGGTAGAATACAAAAAAAACACAAACCTTTTAGAAAGACAAACAATGGAGCTTTGCAAGAATTAACTGCCTAAGACTTGGCAAATATTTATGCACACAAAAGTTATTTAATTAAAGTACCCCGAGGCAATTTCGTGTGTTTTGCGTCTTTGGGGTGAAAGTTAAGCTCTTCTGATAGGTTTAT